AGCACAGCCTCCTCTTCAGACGCACCACCACCAACAACAACAACAACTAATATGCTGTCCTCCATGGAGTCGCAGAGTAATGAACTTCAACAATATTTGGCAACCCCCGAAATGTTTTCAACAGGTCACTTTGATCTCTTAGAGTATTGGAGAGCCAGAAAATGTATTTTTCCGGTATTATCAAGACTTGCCTTGGATGTTTTCGCTGTTCCTGTCTCAACCGTCTCATCCGAACAAACATTTAGTGCAAGTGGAAGGATTTTAAATGAAAGGAGGACTAAACTTGCTCCAAAAATGATTGAAGTCCTCACATGTCTTCGAGATTGGGAACGATCGCGCCATCAAGATCAATACGAGGTTATCGACAATACTTTAGTAGAATCATTTCAATTTTGTAATATAGATGATACAGATGAGGGAGGTCCTAGTGAACCACCCCCAAATTAGTTGTTTTGTAAAATGTAATTTGTAAATTAATTGTCAATTATTGCACTCTTTTTTCTTTACCAAGTTTTTCTCCCATTGGGTTTTTCTTGGTGAGGTTTTTAACGAGGCAATAATTGTTATAATTTCTTATTTTATTTTTTGATAAATGAATAATTTTTCTTATATTATAATTTTATTGTATCAAAATTGAATTAATATTTGAAATGTTAACAAACAAAAAAATTGAATTGAATTATTGATATTTGAAAAGTTAATTAAAAACAATTATATTTATAATTATTTATTTGAAAAGTTAAATAAAAAAAAAAAAAAAAAAAAAAAAAAGAAAATCGGGCTAACCCGGCCCAGCCCGCCACCTAACCCGGCGGGTTAGGGCTGGCGGGCCGGGCTGGGCCAGCCATTTTGAAGAAAATGGCGGGCCTAACCCGGCCTGCCTTTGCTGGCGGGCGGGTTAGGCCCGGCCCACCAAACAAAGTAACCCGCCGTGGGCCGGGTCGGGTCGGGCCGGGCGGGTTACTTTTCCACCTCTAATCTGAATCATACCATGTCTCTAGCTCAGCTGGAAAGGCATAGCCTAAACTGGGAAGTGCTAATTTGACCCACCTTACCCTCGTCGATTGGGGTTTTCACCCTAATTTTCTATTTCCTCTACTTTTACAATGAGTTGTGGGCCTCAACCAAAAGAAAAAAGAAAAAAAAAATCAAAAAATTATTTACTTTTTATCTGTCTTTGATGGTAGAAATAGAAGGAAATATGGGGTGCGTTTGGTTCCCTATTTCTATCCATATTCCCAATCTTATTCCCCAAATATTGTTTGACACATTATTCCAGAAATATTACTATATTTTTTTAATTGCTTTTAGACCCTTAAGTTTATTAATTTCATTAAACACCCACAGAAAAAATAGTTTAAAAATTAGCAAAAACACCCCCACCCACCCATTCTTGCCAGATTCCGGTAACCACCGTCGTTGATAGTCGGAATTTGTCACAACGTGTAATGCCCCACTCGAGGTACGTAGCTAATGTTTCTTATTTTGCTCTTATTTGAATTGAAATATTGTTAATATGGTTTGGTTGCCCTGAAATTGTAGAGACTTGGTGAAATTTTGGTGTTACAGACTTCGCCGGGGCGAAGAAGAATCTTCGCCACGGCGATGAGGTCCTGCAACCCACGGTGTAGGTTCTGTGATGTTTCGCCGGGGCGAAGAAATAGTCTTCGCCACGGCGAAGAGCCCAACAAAATGTGTATTAAGTTTCTAGAGAATTCTTCCTTTGGGTCACAATGACCATTCTATCCCTAATTAGCAGGAAAAGTGGGGAGTGAAATGCAAGGAAATTGCATGAAGAATAGTTTAAATAGGGGGTGCATTTGCAAAGAACTAAAGGGCAAATGTGGAATTCCTATGAAAGAGTAAGGGTAAAATGGGAAAAAGTGGAGAAAATATGAGATATTAAGGGTTTAACTTTAGAAACCCTTCATTCTTCTTCTTCCACCGCCATACTCATTCATCCTTTTCTCTCAACTTTCCATCCAATCCTTTAAGGATTCTAAAGGGCTTTTGAGTAGTTTGTGGGTAGAGAGGTGATCTTAGGCATTCTAAGGTAAGGACCTTTACTCTAGATGTAATTCTTTAGCTATAAAGGTGTTAAAGTCTTATTGTATTGTTGTTTAAAAGTGTAGAGAAAAGGCATCTACCAAAGGAAAAGAGAAGTGCCAGTGGAATCATACCATCACAAAGTAAGTAAATCCAACTCAAGCTAAAGTTTAAGAAATTCTTGAGTAGAGATTTAATTATGCATATATATATGATGCTTGTTGAGACATTGAGTTGAGATATATGTCTACTTGTTGAGAAATTGAGCTGAGAAGAGTATTCATGTTATGTTTGTTGGATACATTTCCTTTATAAGAAGTGTTAATATGTGATGAGTTGAGATGAAATTGGATGAGATTGAGTAAATATTTTGGGAGTGTTCTTTTATGATAGGGGTTATGCCCATGGAAGGGAGCTTACTCCCATTTTGGATGGTTAAAAAGAGAAATAGAGTTGTAGTTAGAGAAGAGTTTTTGTATGCACATGAGTTGTTTGATGAAATGCCTAAGAGAAGCATGAGAATGAATTATGAACTTTAATTCTTGCAATATTGCATATTGGCATTTCCTAAGTGTATTAATGAGCATGAACCATCCATATGCATTAATTGTGCATTAAGAAGTAGCTTGAGAAAGAGTAAAGAACTTTGTGAATAGACTACTTTAAGAGTTAAGCTACATGATGCTTATTAGCTAGAGAAAGAGTAGAGACCTTTGTGCTTAAACTACTATAAGAGCTAAATAAGAGAATAGAGTAGGTTGTGCGATGGGGAACCCGTGAGTGATGAGTAAAGTCATGAGAGTGGGTGCTTTGTGATCCCTAGCCGTGACTTCGGTCAGATGAGGCCGTGACCGTCACGCAGAGTGGAACATGAGGTTCCAGCCGTGCCTCCGATAAGAAGGGGTCGTGACATTTGGGAGATAGAGAGAAAGCATGTACACTCACATGGCCAAAGGTTCCGAATCCATGCATAACCGAATCCGATCGGTACAGAAATGAGTAGACGTCACGTAGAGCGGGAGAGTTCCCAGCCGTGCCTCCGGTAAGATGAGGCCGTGACATTCCCATGAGTAGAATGGGAAACAGAGAAATAGAAAGAATAGAAAGAGAAAATGAATAGAGTCACGAAGAGTGGGTTGAGTCCCCAGCCGTGCCTCCAGTGAGATGAGGCCGTGACATGCACCAGAGAGTGTATAGAAAAGAGTATGAGAAACAGAAACAGAAAGAGAACAGAAATGAGAAAAGAATAGCGTAAGGAAAGAATTAAGAGAAAGAGTTACGGAGATAGACGAGTAGAGGATTTGCTTACTAAGCATTAGTTGTGCTCACCCCGTTGTTTTTCTATGCTTTTGCAGGTTCCAGGTGAGTACGCAGTCGGATGGATGTCAGCGGGCGAGGGGGAGTAGTTACACTGTCCACCACACTTTTGAGAACTTTTATAAAGGATACTAACTTTGTAAAAGAATATGTATATGAAATGAAAGAAAAATTTTGGGCCCAACTATTTTTATTAATATACCCGTATTTTATATATGTGTTTTGATGAGTATAGTAGTATAAAGCAGCTATTACACAACGGCTTACATCTCAACCAGAACTGACCGATATTCACCGATCTGGCCTTTTCCAGCCAGATCCACAGTGGATCTGGATTTGGCTGGAAAAGGCCAGATCTGACCGTCGTTGACGGTCAACGACGGCCATTTCTTTGGCCTTCGCTGATGGCCAACGATGAGCTTTTGCGGTCATCGACGACCACATCTAGCTGTAGATCTGGCCTTTTTTGGCCAAATCTACGCTTTACGACACAAATCCGGCCGGTCTGTGTTGTAACGTAATTTTCCAGTCAGATTCCAACAGTGGTGGCCGGAATCTTGCACTGCGGGTGGTGGGGGTGTTTTTATCATTTTACAAAATTTTTATATATTGGGGTATTTAATTAAATTAGCAAACCTAGGGGGTTTTTTTTAGAAATTTTTAAATTTTACCTCCTAATACTCCCCTATCAAACTACCCAATATTATTCCCAAAATCCTATCCAAAATAATAAACCAAACGTACCCATGTATATCTGGTTTCGACAAGGCTTGTAATGGTAATGGCATATTTTTTTGCCATTAGTGGTGGTCTACCATGTAGAAGATAGTGGGTGTTGCCGTGTTCGTTGCTGTTGCTGTTGGTTATTATTTATTCTTTGTTCTATTTCAATTTCTTAATTAAATGAAAAAAGGAAGAAGGATAAAATGTAGTTTTCAAAAAAAAAAAAAAAAAAATTTGATGGAACCATAAATTTTAATTGAAAATAAGGGCTTTTTATTACTTTCAGAAAACCTCGAGGGCGTCTAGAATCGCCTCATCTCTTAGGACGTGGGCTTATAAAAACCCAATTAAACTTAGTGGAACATTAAGTTGGGGATGTAAAAGGTAAAAACCTTGAGCAAGGGTCGAGCTCGACCGGGCCAAGCTTGGGTTTATTTTTATGGGCCTTTATAAAACATTTTATGGGGCTATTTAGAGTTTTACAAAACCTTAATGGGTTTTTATTCTCCCTATGAGAGACAAGTAAGACACGCCACATGGTTTCTAAAAAGTATTATAATATATCCTCTTGTTAGGGGGTTTTTTAATACTTCTTTAAGGAGTAAATGATAATCTCAAGGGGATAGATAATAATTTTAAGGGGGTAAATGATAAATCCCAAACCGTAATTACATACTATGGTATGGGCTTTCCTACCAAACCCAGGCGAGGCCTCCCAAGGCCCGGTCGGGTTTTTCTTACATCGCTGTGACTTTAGGGGAGATATTTGAGAATTTCTGAAAGTATGGGGAGCAGATAGGACAGCTAAAACCTCAGTGGAGATGCAATAATATGCCAAAATAAAATAATAAAATGGGAAAAGAAAAAAGAAAAAATAAAAAAAGGGTGTATGAAAAGGAGAGGTGGAGAGTCCACAATAATTGGCATCAAATGCTTATGGAGATTCGCACTGTTGCTGAATTCCAAGATCTGGCAACATCAATTATTATATTTAAAAAAATATAATTAGCTTTTTGTTTGATTGGAAGAGAGAAAAAAGAAAAGAAAGAAGAAGCATAAAGTGTTAGCAGGAGGAGCAATACTAGTAAAATAATTTTAGTGTTTTAGTGAGAGAATAAAGTTTACACAGAAGAGCCAATTAGAGTTCCGTTGGAAAGAAAGTTGCCCGAAAAGGTAACTCAACAATCAAAATCTTGTTTTTAGGTTAGGTTTCAATTATGAATGGTGAATTGGTTTATGTTGTTGGTTAGATTGAAGTGAGAATTGGGAGAAAATGGCTGCTGAGTCATCAAAGACGACGGGTTTTGGTTTGAATCACAGCACCTGCAATTCAGAGTTGATTCCTAATCCTAATTCAAATCCTATGACTATGGCTTTTGGTATGGGTATGGGAATGGGCAATTACTTTGCTTCTTCGTCTGGCTTCATCCCTGGATTACTTCAACCTCCCAATTCTTCTTCTACTTCTACTTTTCTTGATTCCTTCGGCCTCAAACATGATACTGGATTGGCCGTCGACTGGTCTATGGATGAGCAGCTTAAATTGGAGGAAGGCCTTCTCAAGTAGGTACTTTTGTTTTGGGATTCGACATATTATAACTGCTTCCATGTATTAATTTCAATTAATTCTTTTACGTTTTGGCTTTTTCTGTATGTAGATATTCTGATGAGCCAAACATCATGAGGTATGTAAAGATTGCGGCTACTTTGCGTGACAAAACTGTCCGTGATGTTGCATTGAGGTGTAGGTGGATGACTGTAAGTTATTGCTCCTTTTAGTTTCATTCAACATTTCGAAATTTTGAAACGTCTCGGGTGTATTGTTGCTTGGCCTCATCTGTGGAACTGAAATAGTGTCCATTCTTTCAATTACTAAAACAATATGACAAGCAAGTTGTGAAGAGCTGTGAAATCCACTTTCATCTCATCAACTATTTACTCAATCAATTGAATTGGACTTCAACGGTGTTTTGGATTCAATTTATTATTATGTTTTTTTTTTCCACTTTATTTTCAAAATTTTGATGATGAAACAGCGTATTTGTTGGTTGCATTTTATGTTGGGTGATTCTCTTCTTATTTAAGGTCGCTATTTTTTTTTCTTCTATAGTTGGTTACTACCTCATGTTATCTTAAGATTATAAAATGGCAACCATTTTAATGTAGCAGCATTAGATATGCTGTTCTAAAGTTTTTTTTATTTATGATGGCATGGTCTGATTTCTTATGGGATATACTACACAGTAGGTCCTAAACTGCTAAGCATAATTATTTTTTATGGCTTGATATTTTTATTTATTTTTTATGAATGATACTAATGTACTAGGCTTTAATGGATTTTGTACTTCAACACTGGCATTGAAACTAGGGGTATACAATTCAAATCCATAGGGATTGTTTGAAGTTTAGAATTCTAATCTAAATATGAATTAATTTCATTACTAACCTAGTTCGCAAGATTGATTTTTAACTGGAAACAATATTAAATTAATCATGCAAAAACTAAATCTATGAATTAAAAGTAAAATTGATTACTCACCGTTAATAAAATCCATTTACTGATAACTTTTGTTACGTAAATTGCCTACCTTGAAAACCCTTAAAATATCAAGAACAATAAAGTTTAGCCAGGCCACTTTTGATTTCCTTGTATATGAATCCTGTGAGCTTCTTTTCCAATGCTAAATTTTCTTTGTTTAAAAGCATGTTTTATTTGTTCCATGTGTTAACTTCTCATTTCTCTTCATAAGGGCATTATTGTTTGTAAATGGTATGCAAGGGTTTTCAGCTTTGACTTCAAACATGTTGTTCCCATCGCAACAATAACTTAACTTTGTCTTGGCTTCAAACATGTAACATTTTGTTGTTTTTATAATTACAGATATATTGACCTAGTATATAAATTAAGCTATAACTAACTAAAATTAATTGAATAATGGACTAACAAATTAAATTATTAGGGTATAATTATGATATAAAATATGGTTACCACTGTGCTTTGGAGTATACTATAATTGATGAATACATATTCAGTTACATTTCATCCTTACCTTATCTGTATGATAATAATAGTGGCCTAGGTTTAGCTGGCTTGTCAAGAAGAGTAATGAGTTCTTTTTACTTCTTAATTTTCAAGTTTTGAATGGGAGAGGATAAGTTGTAATGGTTCATAACTGAAAGCATAGTAACTTCACTAAAAGTTTGAAGATGATCTGGATTGTTTTGTTAGTAAGAAAATGTAAGTGTTAGAGCTTAAGTTCTATTGTGAGTACGTACTTTTCAGTTTAAAGTTTTGAGTCAGGTGGTTATTTAATATGATATTAGAGTCAATGTTACCAAGTGGTCTTGTTTTTGGATCCCCTTATTATTAAATTAACTATAAGAAGTTGTGTTTACTTTTAGTAGTGGTTTTGTTCAGTTCTCGTGCAAGTTCATGTGAAAAAGACCTTAAATACCATTATAGGTTCATACCTATCAACTTAAATTTTTGGGTCAAGTGATCACTTTATAGTGAGAAAAGATTGAAAGGTTAAGAGAATTCTAATGAAAAATTTTGCTGAAACGTGTAATCCCGTTTATTTAAAATTGCTATGATATATATAGTACAATTCTGGTAACCGTTTTCAGTTGGAAAGCCTTCCAGTTGGATGGTGTGTTGAGACTTGTCACACCTTTTTCTCCTCTTGTTGCCGACTTGGCAGATCAAAAATACACTTGGCTATTTGTAATTGCATGAGGGACAAATGAAATATGGTCCCTGAAATAACTTTATTAAGCTATTACGGAAAAACCTGTCAATGTTCTATATGGTGCATTATCAGCTTGCTAAGTGTTGCTTCTATGTTTTGACTGACAAAATTGTTATTTTTCATAGTTTTTAGTGGTGAAATTCTCATAAACTTAGCCTCTATGTACTACATGCGTTTACTCAAAGTTAGAGTTAGATATCCTTTTTTTTCTTTTAAATGTAAAAGAGCTCATACAAACCTTTTACAGAGAAAGCGAAGAAAACCTGAAGAGTATAATTTTGGGAAGAAAGTGAATAGCAGGAAGGTATGTTGACTAATAAATTTTCATATGTTGCTTACTAATTTATTATCAATTTTTGTGACGATTAGTTGTCTTTTATTTTTAATGATGTTACCAANAATCCATAGGGATTGTTTGAAGTTTAGAATTCTAATCTAAATATGAATTAATTTCATTACTAACCTAGTTCGCAAGATTGATTTTTAACTGGAAACAATATTAAATTAATCATGCAAAAACTAAATCTATGAATTAAAAGTAAAATTGATTACTCACCGTTAATAAAATCCATTTACTGATAACTTTTGTTACGTAAATTGCCTACCTTGAAAACCCTTAAAATATCAAGAACAATAAAGTTTAGCCAGGCCACTTTTGATTTCCTTGTATATGAATCCTGTGAGCTTCTTTTCCAATGCTAAATTTTCTTTGTTTAAAAGCATGTTTTATTTGTTCCATGTGTTAACTTCTCATTTCTCTTCATAAGGGCATTATTGTTTGTAAATGGTATGCAAGGGTTTTCAGCTTTGACTTCAAACATGTTGTTCCCATCGCAACAATAACTTAACTTTGTCTTGGCTTCAAACATGTAACATTTTGTTGTTTTTATAATTACAGATATATTGACCTAGTATATAAATTAAGCTATAACTAACTAAAATTAATTGAATAATGGACTAACAAATTAAATTATTAGGGTATAATTATGATATAAAATATGGTTACCACTGTGCTTTGGAGTATACTATAATTGATGAATACATATTCAGTTACATTTCATCCTTACCTTATCTGTATGATAATAATAGTGGCCTAGGTTTAGCTGGCTTGTCAAGAAGAGTAATGAGTTCTTTTTACTTCTTAATTTTCAAGTTTTGAATGGGAGAGGATAAGTTGTAATGGTTCATAACTGAAAGCATAGTAACTTCACTAAAAGTTTGAAGATGATCTGGATTGTTTTGTTAGTAAGAAAATGTAAGTGTTAGAGCTTAAGTTCTATTGTGAGTACGTACTTTTCAGTTTAAAGTTTTGAGTCAGGTGGTTATTTAATATGATATTAGAGTCAATGTTACCAAGTGGTCTTGTTTTTGGATCCCCTTATTATTAAATTAACTATAAGAAGTTGTGTTTACTTTTAGTAGTGGTTTTGTTCAGTTCTCGTGCAAGTTCATGTGAAAAAGACCTTAAATACCATTATAGGTTCATACCTATCAACTTAAATTTTTGGGTCAAGTGATCACTTTATAGTGAGAAAAGATTGAAAGGTTAAGAGAATTCTAATGAAAAATTTTGCTGAAACGTGTAATCCCGTTTATTTAAAATTGCTATGATATATATAGTACAATTCTGGTAACCGTTTTCAGTTGGAAAGCCTTCCAGTTGGATGGTGTGTTGAGACTTGTCACACCTTTTTCTCCTCTTGTTGCCGACTTGGCAGATCAAAAATACACTTGGCTATTTGTAATTGCATGAGGGACAAATGAAATATGGTCCCTGAAATAACTTTATTAAGCTATTACGGAAAAACCTGTCAATGTTCTATATGGTGCATTATCAGCTTGCTAAGTGTTGCTTCTATGTTTTGACTGACAAAATGGTTATTTTTCATAGTTTTTAGTGGTGAAATTCTCATAAACTTAGCCTCTATGTACTACATGCGCTTACTCAAAGTTAGAGTTAGATATCCTTTTTTTTCTTTTAAATGTAAAAGAGCTCATACAAACCTTTTACAGAGAAAGCGAAGAAAACCTGAAGAGTATAATTTTGGAAAGAAAGTGAACAGCAGGAAGGTATGTTGACTAATAAATTTTCATATGTTGCTTACTAAATTATTATCAATTTTTGTGACAATTAGTTGTCTTTTATTTTTAATGATGTTACCAAGTTACCAATTATTTTCTTTTAGTTGAAGCTTTTAGAAATAGTTATGACTGACTTCTAAAGTCGATACCACCAACATTTCAGATTTACACTGTACAAAATATTAATGAACATGATATAGCAGAACTTTTGGTTTGTTTTTGAAATTTTTTGTTAAAAAGAATGATATCTAGGTAAGGGTTATATCTGTGAGTTAAAAACTAGTTGAAAGAAAGCACTATAACGTTAATTGACCCATATTGAGAGTGAAATTTCTGTAACAGCAAATAGAAAGGAGGAGAGTGGATTAGGTTTTCTAGGAATCACTCATTAAAATATTAGGAATTCCTCCTAAAAATTAGATACATCATGCATAAGAATGAGGCATCTCACCAGACATCAACAGTAAAGTTCCCAAGATGTTTCTTCAAAATTTCATTGCAAGAAAAACACTACTTCCATCTTATTGGCTCTGAAAGTACATTTTCTACCAAAGAAGCATTTAAAAAACCCATACCACATTCTAGCAGCGTAAAGATTAGGTTATGCAGTACGACGTAGAATCTGGAATAAACAAAAGAAATGTAAGCTGCTGGTGGAAGAGAAGCTTAAATTTTCCTGTCTTAGGAGGTTACTTAAGGGTGAAGGACTTAGTGGTTATGTAGTTGAAGCTAGAAAAGAATTTTGACTCTGAGATTAAAGAATCCTTCACGATAAGTATCCATTCTGCAAACTGGTTTCTGGGGTTCTTTTTCATTTTGCATCAGATGTCAGCAACCACTGTGTTGGCTTGCTGTCATGTTTAGTTGGCTGTATTCCTGCTCTGCTTCTGTGTTACTTTTACATGTTTGTTCAGGCTTGGGTTTCCAGTGAAAGTATGTATCTGTCACTTTGTTTTATTAAAAGAAATTCACCATTTTAAAAGGGATAGTTGCCATCCCATATTTTGTTCCCTTCCTCCCATCCAACTTTTTGACATTATCTACAATTTTTTTTGCATATAAAACTTGTATCTTTAGTTTCATACTACAGGTGTATTGTGAGAAATATGTTTACTCTTGATATTGGGAGAAATAGCAGTGCTCCTTTATTTTCTGAGCTCTCATCCTACCAGTAAATTAAAATTGGCTGTTAGTGATAAAAATTGTAGCACCGCAGATGGGATTCCCGTTTTAATTTATTTAATCAATTAATGTTTTTAGGATGTAATGTTGATTGAAGAACCAGTATTCTAAAGATCATGCTTCTTCAGGATAAGCTGGTGGAATTGAACTCAAAGACGAATATACCTTTAGCTCATTCACAGAACATGGGTTCCTATCCTCTCTTAATGCACCATATGGGCCAGAATGGACCTTTTCCTTTCGAAGGTTAGTATGTTATACATTCAAACTGGAGACATGTCCATTTCCAAGTTATTGTTGATTAAATCATGAAATAAATAAACACGTGTATATATTTCTTGTTTTTCATGCTCTCAAGGTTTTTGGTTATGAAAACTGGTATCCTAATCTATGCAGTTAGTGTGCAATAATAGTATAGATAAGATAAATTTATTTATTTATTTTTTATTATTATTATTATTATTTGCCTTTCTGCTGATTTTCTTCTACTTCTTTTTTGCCTGTTATTTTTCTTTTAAAGGACTGTTATTTTTTTTTTTTGAGATAAAAATGAAATACAAAATGATAGTCATTACATTTACAGAGGAATTTCTTTTTGCAAGAATGAAATGCAATGCTTCAAACAACTCTGGTTGTCGAGATTATTTGTTTCATATCATACCATACTAGTTTTTTAAGTTTCAATGTATGATTGTAGGACTTCTTGAAATCAATTTTGATAACCATTCCTTCAATCATTTTCTTTCTACAATTTTCAACAAGTTCATTGGCAATCAAAATAGCATAAAAGATCTGACTTGATAAAATCTGATCTGGCAGTAGGGATGGGGTCATTCGAACATCTTTCTATCTTAGGGAAAGGACTTTGGCTATTATCTTGTACAAGCTTGCCACAAGACCAATGGGCCTAAATCAGCTATATTAACATATTCTTTTTTCTTTGGGATGAGGGAGATAAACGTTTAGGTAGTGTTTGTAATTATCACAATTTTATCATTAAATTTATTAAATAATTTCGCCACATCATCATTAATAGAATCCCACACTTTGATAGACAGCTAGAGAGAACCTATCCAATCCCAGAGCCTTATCTGGAAAGCAATGAAAGTTGACCTATTTAACTTCTTCACATTTTCTCTATGAACAACTGGTCTGTGTCTCCCTTGTGGTTTCCCATGAAAGCGCATATTCAGTTTTCTAACAATTCCTCAGGAAGCATTGATGATTGCTTCTCAATATGCCTATGTGCCTGGATAACAATTCCTTCACTGATCTCTGGTTTATGAGTTAAATTTTAAATTTTCCTCTCAATCTTATGGAGCAGCCTTATATTGTTGTTAAATTTTTTATGCACAATTGACCTTTGCTTTTATCTACACACATTTTTTGCTCTGATGATTAATTCCTCCAATCTGCTACTAGCTTTTGCTTCTCTCCATGCACAATGCANCATTTTAAATTCTATTTCATAATGTTATCTTAATTTCAATAATAATTATTATTGAATATTTCTACTAATAATTACATTATTTATATAATTAATTAATTGTAATAAGCTTGAAAGAAAAATATATTCGTTATTAAAAAAATTAATTTTAATCAATGATTTAAAATTTTAAATAAATATATTGTGAATAAAAGTATTTATTATTATTCAGTATAATATTACTGATGTTAGATAATAAAATTAAATCAAGTATATTTATATCTTATGGGCAAAACAAGTAGCACAATATCTTTGAATCCGTTAATTTAGGAAACACAATCTAAGAAAATAATTAAGCCTCCAAACAAGACAAGTCCAAATCTCTATCATCTCAATGAAAGTGGAAGATTAAATACATCATTATTGAGTATCCATTAACTTTATGTTTTTCACCCTATGTTGTATCACAAATATTCCCATATCACAAACCATGACTTAAAATTGCAATATTGGATTCAAAAAACGTGAACAAGGATGTAGCTACGTTAGGCCTCACGTAAATTCTTAAAATAATATATAAATAAACCATCTTATCCCAGTATTTTATTTTTTGGGCTCCCCTTATTTGTTAATTCTTACACTTTGAACCCTCTAATATTAATTTCCAATTTCATTTTATTTTTTAATCCTTTGCGTTTACCAAAGAGTAACTTTTAACCCTCTAGGAGGCGTTTGGTTGGGAGTTATCTCTTATAACTAAGATAATGTCATTTTATACTACTTAGATCACCACATTTAGTTGTCAAATAATATAAGATTCCGGTAATATTTCAAAACCAATAGTAATTACTGTTGGTTATATAGGAGGTAATTTGAATACTACCATTTTTTTAGATATTTTATGATTACCAAGTAATCTTAATTTTGTTACAATTTTACCCTTAATTATTAAAAAAAAATTGGACAATAATGCCCTTGTTTTGAAAACAATTTACAAAAATATTCATGGACTATTTTATCCTTATATACAGAATTTTTAGGACATAAATACTCTTGAACTTGAAAAAAAAAATACCCAAGACTGGTGGCCAAATCTAGCCACCACTGTCATTGGCTAACAGCCGGCCCTGCCCGTGGGCGGCGAACGAGTGGCCTAATCTGGCCGACTGTGGACAGAAATGGCTAGATTGCCATAAATCTAGTCGAAAACGACCAGATCTATTCTTGTTGTTAACAGTCAAATCTTTGGTCGTCGTCAACAAAAAACAATTAGATTATGGCCATTAACGATAACCATATTATGGCCGTTATCGACGGCTAGATCTTTGGCCATAGATTTAACCGTTTATGGCCAGATCTAGCTGGTGGTGGCCAACGACCGACAGTGGTTTGGGGTGGGTAGGGGTGATTTTGTTAGAAATTAATTTTTTATGTGGTTGGAGTGTTTTAGCAAAATCTCAAAATATAAGGGGTTAAAGATGATTCAAAAAATAATATTATATTAATATGTAAAATGAGGGCAATTTAGTAATCTATATAACATACCCACCAATTTATTCCTCCCAATTAAACGTATCAATATAATAGACCCCCATTAATTCATTTTAACCTAACCAAATACATTTCCTTAAACATTCTCAGTAATCTTCAAGGTAATATATTTTTCTATTAATATAACATTTCAGGTGCGTTTGGTTCAAAAAATGTTGTATTACTGGGAATGTTATATTAATGGAAAGAAAGATTACCTTGAATATTACTAGGAATGTTTAGGGAAATGTGTTTGATTGGTTGAAATAAGTGGGTATGTTATATTAATATATTTGGTTGGGAGGAATAAATTGATGGATATGTTATTTAAATTACTGAATTGTACTTTAATTAAATATTATATAACCCCCTACATTTAAAAACTTAGCAAAAACAATCTCATAATAAAAGTTTGGAAAATCAAAAATCCACCCCCACCAACCCAGTCACTGTCGGCCGCCCACAACCACTATCGACTGCCTGCAGCTGGTAACCTAATGGTGCACGGAAGGCCAAAAATGGCCTCAATGCGCCGATATGGCCATTTCTAGTCGAAAATGGCCAGATCGTGACAAATCTGGTCATCAATGGCCAGATCGATAACCGTTAACGGCCACAGATAATCGCCATTACAACCCCTATAAATACAACGTAAAATCTAGAAAAAGAGAGATTCGCGGGGGGGGGGAGGGGGGGGGGGGTGTGATATAAATAAGGGGAGTAAAAGAGAATGATTGCTTGATCAAAACCTCTATAAACACTCAACTCAATAAAAAGAAATAGTGGATGTTGCTCGATTCCTTGCTCAGCCAAAACACTATGCAAAGCTCGCCTATTTACTTTCACTGTCAATCGCTATAGCTTTGATTCTGATCATCTAATCATCCGCGCTCGTCCTTGCTGATCCCCAGGATCACATGCATCTTACTCGGTTCCTACTAGGGGTCAACTGAGTTTATTGGTTGATGTGTGTTCTTGTCTCGACACTATAGTCCGTAGGAATTTCGTATCAACATAATTTATTTTTCTTCTTATTATTTTTTTCTATCTCCAAGTAAAGAAATTTTACTAGAGTTAGCTTTCAAAAACTATTGACAGTTGACGAAATATGGTTTTTTTTTTTTTTTTTTTTTCTACTGGGGGTGTCTAAGCCCGCTTACGTGCACCTCGACCAATCCCTTGACCCCAAACAAGTCTTTCGATAGGGCAAGCCTTGTGGTCCGTGGAACAATATAGCAACCGTTCTTATGATCGAACGAGACACAAGGGGAGCAAACCCCTTGGCCCCAAGCCTTTACCACTTAGCCAACCCATTTTGGTTAAACCCACCCAAATTCCTCTCGTCCTTTTATTTTTACTTCTCCAAACTCTTAAGTTTGTTTTTTTATTTATTTTCTTTAAAGTTCCTAGCTTACAAGTTCCGTTTTGGGGTGAGTGGAGTTCATCATGGCTGTTGATTCTCTAACGGAGAGACGTTTTCATTAAGATCGACGGTGATAAAACAACAATCACGACCAACAACAACAGCATTTTGCGAGAGTCAAGTTTTGATTTTTGGCAAGATAGAGACTAAAACAAAAACAAACCTGAAGAAGAAGAAGAATAAGGAAGAAGGGAAGAGTAGAAGAAAGAGGAGATTTTGATTTCATGAATGTGGTGCAAGAATGAAAGATCCACCCTCGAAGTTGATTGGTCAGTTTTTGCATAAGCAGAAAGTTTAGGTGAGATCTCTCTGATATGGACTTGGACATGGAGAGCTTTAACAACAAGGGTAGCTAGTGATGAGAGAGTTACGAATTTGGGGATTTTGAGACTTGGACTTGAGATCGAGACAGTTATGAATTGGGGGTTTTGATTTTTTGCAATTACCGATTTTGGCCATCTATAATCAAATCGAAAAACCGGTTCAAAGAAATTCTTGAACCGAAACCAAACCATTTTCACTAAAAAACCGATTTTTGGTCCAGTTATTGGTAAATCGGTTTAGTTTAGTTTACAGATTTTTTTTAACAGCCTTACTAGTGTAAAGGCAAACCAAGAGGGTTGTGCATGGCTTCAATCCACAGTCCCGAGTGGTTTGATTTTCTGTTGGACGCAAATGTAGTACTTTTACCCATGATTTACCTACGGGGTCGCGGCTACCCTATTATTTTTTCATAGTGATGAGGGTGTCTTCTAAATTGACAAAATTGTACAGATTTACTGCATATATTGTACCAAGTGAACATTTATAATGAGTGAATTATAACATTTTTATTATGTCAAATAAGATTTATAGAATACCCAACGTATATGATATTTGTTATTAACATTCATTTTTAAAGTTGAAATAGTGTTTTTCATAGTCAAACATAACCCTCCGTTTGTTTCGTTATTTTCCCACTATCCTATCCAATCTTATCAAAATACATATTTGTTTTAATATTCAAAATTCTCTTCAAAATCCAATCATATTATGTTCAACTCAAAACATTAACAATTACCTTTCTCAATAAAAGTTTTGAAATTAACAAAAACACCCCCACCCACCTAAGCCACTATTACCCGCTAAAAGCCACCGTTGGCGCCATAACGACACACAATTGACTAGATTTGGCCATTCGTGTTCTGATCCCATAAATTATTTTCAAATACAATTGATTAAAATTAGAATAAATCAAAAGTAATTACATTTTGTGTTGAGACAAAATCCACTATGGGCACATGACTTGCAACCATGAGGAAAACTCCTTGGAATGGGCGAGCAAGGAATGGCCTCAAACCACTCACTCAATTCTCTCCCATTGGCTTCTTTTGTTTAGGCAAGTAGATATGTTACACCCTGGATAATACACGTGTCACTCTTATAGGGAGTACGGACCATTTTGTAATATGTGAAATAAAGGACAATAGTGCATAACAGAATGTTAGAGAAAATATCCTGTGGTCCTCCCCTCTCACTCTCAATGTCACAGGATACACGTGTTCTAATCTTTGTGGTGTGATCTTTGGGGATTGTTAATCTTGATAATGAGATTCAAGGTATATTATGAGCCATTTGAAGGCAATTTAATTGAAGCTCATTTAAGCTAATCTTTCTCTTATAAAGGTTTTGAAATTCATCTCCTTCCTCTTCACACTAAACTTATCACCATTGTTAATCTCCTTTGAGTTTTTGTTAAGCATTCTACTACTTTAGTGTTTGAGAGCTCATGTTAGCTATCACTAGGGGTGTAGTCGAACCGAGTAGCTCGTGAGCTACTCGGGATCGACTCGTGACGAACTCAGGCTCGACTTATCAAAAATAGAGTAGTTCACGAGTTCGAGCTCATCTTCAAGCTCGGGAAAAATGTCGAGCTTTTTGGGCTCGATTCGAACTGCTCGTGAACTTCTGAGAAACTCGAGCTACACGCTTTTCCCCAAAGCCCATGGTTACATGCTTTTCCCCAAAGCCATCACCGCATCCGATCTCCACAATCGCCTCCTCTCCTCTTGGAATTCCACTTTGATCCTCTTCTCTCCACCCGACTCACTCATCTCTGCTCTCGATCTCTCCTCCCACTCCCTCCTCTACCATGTGTCGCCTCTCAAACTAGCCATGTCACACCTCCAAAAGTTGAGCTCCAATGGAGGCTCCTATGTCGACACGCTCCTTCCTCGCCATCGAATTGTGATCGAAAACACTCAGGTTTTTTTGAACGACGTCGTTTTAGATTTTGTTACGGTTGATAGAGTGAAGCTTTTGATTCCGGATCTTTTCATCGGGACTGGTGTAGCAGTGCATGGACTCGACGAGATTCTTGTTTCCGGGTAGGTTCGATTCTGAGGATGATAAAGAGGATTACACTGACGATCATCACCTACGGCTTGTGTCGCCATCGGCGAGTTGTCCTAACTACGAGATTGTGGCTCCAACCATAACACTGGTGAAGCTGAAACGTTTCTTGAGTTCAAAGAATCGACGGAATCCGAGAGGATCTCACCATAATGGCGATAAAACTGGTCATGGAAAGTTTTTGAAGTTCAAGAATTGGATTGGTCAGTGATTTTCTCAATTAAAGTGTTGTTTGTTTACCGAGAAAGTAGAAGGAAAAAAATAGAGAAAGTTCGTGAATCTGTTTCAGTTTTATTTATATTTCCTCAAGAACCGAAGGGAGAAGTTGTAGAGAATGAACGTGTTTAGGTGTATTGCATAAGAGAAATTCTCAGCTATAATAAATAACCAAGCCGAGCCGAGCTTGAGCTATTCATTTTCTTAAACGAGCCGAGCTCGAGCTCGTGTGCCAGAGCTCGCTGAGCTCGAGCTCAAGCCTTCTACCAATACATCCGAGTCGAGCTCGAGCCAGCCATTACTCGGCTCGGCTCGGCTAATATGCACCCCTAGCTATCACCTTTGTCGACCTGAGCCTCTAAACCTCATTTGTTTCTTCTCTGTAGAGACTCCTGGAGTGTCTGAGGAGAAAACCACCTCTGAAACACCATTTCACTAGCATTAATCTATCAATTCTAAACCATTTTACTTGTTAATTGTTAGAGACATTTTTAGGTGTTAACATTTTGTATTTATGACAGCAGTCATTTTTCTACATTGATGAACAAATTTACATTACTCTATTATATTTTGATAAAGCTATAATAAAATTCTGGCTAGGGCATTGCTCATGGATCTAATTATAAATAAATTTTATACTAAATATAGTATACGATACTATTTGCTAAAAGCTGTAAATGTAAAACTAATATGGTCTCAATTGGTGTCTGATCTATATTCCAGTGGCTTTAGCTTCTATCAATTATTGGGCCTTGTGAAGGCGGTTTTGTTTGTCTGGTTTAGATCTCTGTCTTCCCTAAATAAGATCATAGTTGTCAAATCGCGTATCGTATCGTGTATCGAAAACTTAATTTTTTTGAATCATGTATCACGTATCGTATCGTATCGTAGGATACGTATTTAAAAAAAAAGTAATAAAATAATCAAAATTTTCTAAAAATTAATATCATCCCAAAATTAATTAAAGAATTTTGTCGTATTATTGACTTTAAATTATGGTATGACATAATCAAAATTAATCACAAAATTAAGAATCTATATCATTTTCTCTTTAACTTTTCATATCATTTTCAAGATCAATGTTAATATCTATATCTCCATTTGTATTATTATTATCATGCAAAATGGGCAACACATGTTCCTCTTCATTTTCTCCATGCAAAATGGGTAAATTTGGGCAGGTTTTAGTGAACCGGGTTGGGTGGCTTGGTTTCGACCCGAAAGATTTTTGGGCCTTTGGCCCAAGTTAATAAAGTCGTATCGATTTGTATCGATATTTTTTAGGATACAAACGGATACGTATCGTATCGTAGGATACATATCAACGTATCGAAAAGTTTAGGATACACTCTCTGATATGTATCGTTGGCATCCTGTATCTAATCGTATCGCATGATACGTATCGGATATCGTAAGATACTAACAACCATGAACAAGATCATTAAATTTTAGAAAATTTTGTAAGAATGTAAGAAAGAGACGTGATCTTTAGCCCATTGATCAATATTTCCTCTGTTAAATAAATCTTTATTATTATGATTATATATATATATTAAATCACTTTAAACTTTATTTAATATCAAAAATAGTTGTGCTTAATTAGGGATTTTTTTGCAACCCTTTTGGCCAATTTCAAACTTAATTCGAGTTTTTGTTTACACTACTTTTTCCAAATTTCAAATTCAGTTGGGGTTTTTTTATTTATATTATTTTTCTCTAATTTCTTAATTAAGATTTTGGTTTATACCCTTTTTCTTAATTTAAAATTTACTCTTTTTATCCTGATAATTTTATGAGACTAAAAATCACTTTCCTACTATGAACATTGCTAACCCATATTAATCTATTTTAATGGATTTGTTTCACAGTTATGAATAAAAATAATATAATGTCTAAGATTTGTTAGAGATAATAATTGCTCAAAACCCCTAAGAAGGTTGACATGCAATTTTTGTCCAATTTAAAATGTAAGACGGTCTTAATTAATGAAATTCTGAAAAAAAAAAAAAAAAAAAAAAAGGCAGCCGTCCAGGAACGTCATGTTAAATAATTAAATCAATACTAAAATTGATTAGTACTTCTCAGTGACTTTTTTAACCCAATTATTTTTTGTGGACAATGTTGATTTATTAATGTTATTTTTTATATATGAAGGACATAGGATTAAGAATGAATTGATCAGCAAGGGATAATTAACCAAATTAAATTAATGAAAGGATGTTGGTTGTACAAAGTGTTAAGAGAGCCTGCACGCACGTCAACAATCAAATAAATTATAAACAACTATAAGTTGAAAAACGATCACCTTCGTGAGGGTCACGAAGGCATTTTCTGGTGAAGAGATATAGCATATTGCACATTATATAAAGGAAAGGAATGCAAGTCAATGGGCAGCATCCTTCCATCCCAGACTTTGTAATTACAAACCATGGCCTCGTTTTCTGAATCATTAAGCTTTATCTTCTTCTTGGTGATATGTATGTTAGCAATCTTGGGCAGATCGAGCGGTGCTGGTTATAATGTTCGTTTCAAATCAAGTAAATGGTCTCAGGCTCATGCTACCTTTTATGGTGATGAGTCTGCCTCTGAGACAATGGGTATGTCATTCACATCGATTGCTCCCTTTTTTTTTTTTTTTTTTTAAACTCTACTTAAATAAGTTGTACCAAACAGACCATTAAAAAGATAAATACCTTACCGAAAATACTTGTGTGAATTAATTTACAGGGGGAGCTTGTGGGTACGGAAACTTATTCAATAATGGTTACGGGACAGATACAGCTGCTTTGAGCACAACATTGTTCAATGATGGATATGCTTGTGGGACTTGTTACCAAATAAAATGTTACCAGTCCACTGCATGCTATAAAGATGTGTCATTCACCACGGTTACAGCAACAAACATTTGCCCACCAAACTGGGCTAAGGACTCTAACAATGGTGGGTGGTGCAATCCTCCTCGTGCACATTTCGACATGTCCAAACCTGCTTTCATGAAGATTGCTCAGTGGAAGGTTGGCATTATCCCCGTACTCTACCGCCGGGTGCCATGTGTGAGGAGCGGAGGGCTTCGATTCCAATTCCAAGGGAATGGTTACTGGTTGTTGGTTTATGTGATGAATGTTGGAGGAGGTGGAGACATTGCCGAGATGTGGGTTAAGGGAAGCAGAACTGGATGGATTAGTATGAGCCATAACTGGGGGGCCTCATATCAGGCTTTTGCAACTCTTGGAGGCCAATCTCTTTCTTTCAAGATCACTTCATATACAACCAAGGAGACTATTATTGCTTATAACGTTGCTCCTTCCAATTGGAATGTAGGATTGACTTACAAGTCAAAGGTTAACTTCCACTGATCAACAATTACTTCACCAGGACTACCTTTTTTTGTTTTCCTTTCTTTTTCAACCCCAGATATGTCCATCCATCCACTCATTGCTTTCTTTTTGGAGATTTGATTGAATATAATCGTTTTGTATGTTCACATCTTATGTATATTAGAGCAGATTGATCGTACTCTGCCATGTCAAAGTATTCAACTACTTGTTTTAATTAAGTTGGGTACTTGACTAAAGTTCATATTAGTAGGTGTTAAATTGCTTGCATGATCTCTCTATTCTAATTTCTCACTAATTTGGATACAATAATGCCTATACATACAAAGTAAACATTACAAATGATGTGATTGATTATGCGTTAATGATATATTGATGATAAGAGAATTAAATAAGTAACTTCCTGTAATCAATGTAATGCAGACATATAAATTATTACATCATTTATATATAAGTTTGGGGTCTCATATTTATATGCATAGTATTATTGATTTAAATATTATTGCTTCAGTCCAATATGGCCACTAAAATATATATATATATATATATATATATATTTTATGTTTAGGGCTGGTGGGAATGAAAGCAAAAATAGTTTCCATTTAAATAAACTGATTAATTCATGGGTGAAAAGATTTTACCAAGAATTAATTCTTAAACCGATCCTAACAGATATCTTTTTTCATTAATTAGTGGCCAGAGACATGGCGTGCACTTCATCATTAGAATCATAGGCATTAAGGAACTTTGAAGAGGACACAACTTTGTGTTAGGTGATTTTAGTCAACGGTTCATGTCAATATATATTTTAACTTATATAAAGTTATTTATGGTGAGATAATTTAGTTTTAAATATCTTTTACGAAGGAAACAAATGAGTTTAATCCTTAGTGATTTTAAGGAAAATAAAAGTTGGAAACCTCGATATATGTTAGTGAAAAAGAATGATCAATTAGAGTTCAGATAAAGCACCATGCCTTGTAAAGAAATTAAGAAAAAGGGCTAGTCATGGGTTGACTCCATGTGAAAATTGAGTCAGGGTTAGCTAACATGAGACCCACAAAGTTGTTGGAGTGGGAGACATGTCAGCGACACAATTAGAGGATTGCCTATTCATCCCCAAAGAGGAACTTTGCCTTCTCTCTTTTAATTCACCAAGCACGCCAATTGTTTATTTTCTTTGACATCATCAGCCCATGCTCCAAATCATTTCTCCCTAACCCATTTCCTTTTATCTTCTTAATTTTTGGTAATGTATTCCCAATTTTCTGAAGAAGTAAATACACAACATCATCGTCAAATATTTGACACTTCAGTTATTAGTTAATAGAGAAGATCATCCATCAAGCGCAATCTTTTCTCAATCTTTGATAAAAACCACCTAACTGTATATAATAGACAAACCAAAGAAGAAAAAAGAAAAAGAAAAACTTTTTTCTTTCCTTTCCCTTAAATCCAAAGTTTCTCTATACTATAAAGTAAACCAAACTGAAAACAGTACAAACTTTCTCCTTTCCAACTTCATTCCTGTTACATCTACAGAAAACAAGAAGCAGATACAGATCCAGAGCTAGTTTTCAGAGAAAACTAAGAAAAAACCAAACTTCGATTCTAACCAACTTTAAGCGAAGCACAAGTCTTCAGATGGGCTCTCTTTTCTTTCTGGGATTGTTAATTATTTCAGTAGCATCCATAAAAACTGAAGCTCAAGGGATCAAATCAGTTCGACTTCTTGATCTTGTCATTAGGGACTACACATTCAAGTCCTTAAACAATCAGTTGAAGACGGGAACACTTCACAATGTACATCTACCGGCAAATCTCTCCGGCATCAAAGTGGACACAGTGAGATATAGATGTGGCAGTCTGAGAAGATACGGCGCAAAGGTTAAGGAATTCCATATAGGAATTGGCGTAACTGTGCAGCCATGTGTGGAGAGAGTTATGGTAGTTAGGCAAAACCTTGGCGATAACTGGTCCTCTATATATTATTCTAACTATGATTTATCTGGTTATCAACTTGTGTCACCTGTTTTAGGCCTCCTAGCTTATAATGCTGGTACCAATATCGGTTTCAATAACCGTTTTCAGCTTGGAATTCTCGCTAATCAAAAGCCCATTACCATAGACTTCAGAAATATTACTGGAAATGGAGTTTCCAATACATCAGGAATCAAGCCATTGTGTGCTAATTTTCAAGGAGATGGCAAAGTGACACTAACAAAGCAGGTATCACCCTATGTTTGTGTAGCAACGAAGCATGGCCATTTTGGTTTGGTTACGGCTCATCAGTCACCACCACCGCCACCGCCACAAACAACAGAATTTAGTAAGAAGAAGATTAGCCGATGGAAACTTGCAGTGGGCACTACAGTTGGTTCTGCAGTGGGTGCATTTCTTCTGGGATTGCTTTTGGTGGCAATGTTTGTTAAGGTAAAGAAGAAGGCAAGAATGGAGGAGTTGGAGAGGCGGGCTTATGAAGAAGAGGCTCTTCAGGTTTCAATGGTTGGGCATATCAGGGCTCCTACAGCATCAGTTACAAGAACATTTCCAACAATTGAACATGAGTACATACCTTACTCTTCTTGAACTATTTTTCCCTTTTTAACCTATTTTATGTATGATTATTCTTTTTGTAACATTTGTTGAGAAGAAAGAAAACAGGGAGAACTCTGTTTCTTGATCTCTGATTATTCATTATTCCTATTTCTCAGGTTTGGGTTTTTTTTTTGGTTACTGAAATTGGTTTCAAATTAAATTGATTATAAGTCATGAACTGGAAGAGATGTGATTTAGAATCTCTAATTACCTGCTAGTTTACAAACAGTGATTGAAGTTCCAATTTACATGAGAATAATTGAATGTTGTTTTACTCAAATCTTCCAAAAAGTAATTTCGTATTTGATGTTCAATATAGTCTAAATTTGATTAATTTAGCTAATAAAGGCCATCCGGTATCACATTCTGAGAACATTTTCCTTTCCTCCGGACTGTTTAAATCCCAGTAATTCTGCTCTCTTTCTCTATATATTGTTGCCGGGTGATTGTAAAAAGAACAACTTGATTCATAATGTTTCTTAAATCAGAAGAATGAATAATTACTTTGTAATCACACCTATGCTTGGCACACATTGACTTTCCTTTTTTCCTTTCCAGGGTCTAAAATCATTTTTGTGGACCAAAGAACTAAACGTGCCACTTTAATCCATCATTTTGTTTTTGGTTGGGAGATTAACATTAAAACCTTCAATTGTTTACTAATAAGATGAAATATATTTACCCATGAGATTTCATTTCTTTACTCGATTCCAATAAATAAACAAGTAAAACATGGCCTTTGAGTAAAACTCGGGGGCTAAATTCAAGAAATAGTTCAGCTTTAATGGTCCTTCTCAACCACATAACAAGATAAGCTTTTACTTCATATTCAACAATGTAGGGAAGAATGTAAGTAAAAGTGAAGTATTCTAGACCAAGCTACGGATGTGTTTGTTTTTTACCACTTAAATCTTGGATCTAATTAGAATTGGAGTTTTGATTATTTATTTTTTCAAATTGGCACTTAATTTAGCAATTTTCACTTCATAGAAAAAGTCAAATTTCACGACTTAATTCTGAAAAGTTTTTATAGACATATAAATGTAATTACCTAAAATGCCCATAATCATAATAACTTTAAACTTATCAATAAAAATGTTAAAGTTTTTATTTACAATACTTTTAAGCTAAATTATATTGATTACTCATTAATGCAGTTCCCAATCATTGGAAGCCGGTGGTGGCCGCTGGATTCCAGTGGTCGGTAAAATTTTACAGTGATATTGGTAT